GTACAACTAGAGGTTTTTGGATTCACCAGAAAATGGAAACTTATAACAAACCCTTTCCCGGTAGCTCCAGAATGCCTCAAAAATGAATCCGAGTAAGAACATGAATTCAGTAGAGGAGTCAATAGACTTCTGAATCCAGGATTGTAGACAAATTTCAGCTACAGAAACTGACAGAACACATTCAGATATATTTAATAGCGGTTGCGTATGTCTAATCTAAAGCGACGGTTGGTGCTTCCCGGAGCTGGTGGTTGTGTCCAGCATTTCTGGAGATACGGTTTATGCTGAGAACCTAATGAGCAACCCCACCTCCCCCTCTGATTAATGAGGTCTAGTTTGTCTAGGCCCAATAAGACCCCGCCAAATACCAATTTATGAATAACAAACACACCTTGATTGTTATTACCAAAAAAATATAGCCCAGGATGAATAAATCCCATCATTTCCACCTCATCTCCCAGCATGAATCTTGCAAGGTTTGGTTCGTTAGTTAGAGCATTCCCAATGAGGCGAATTGGTGATGGCTGATAAGCAACAGTATTTCACACATATTCAATATTACTTGATACTGCAAAACTCAGAGAACTGGAAAACCCACATACATTGTTCTGACCAAGATCTACAGCCATAAGAAATCCTTCCTGAAGTTCGTTATTTCCAACAGAATAATTACTTGTGATCATCATTGTCCCCCTAACACGTAATTTTTCCTCTTCAGTCCATGTGACTGCTCGACGCAGATGTCCTGAATGCGGAAGCCAATTTCGGTTTTGAGATATTATGACTGGGAAGGGGTTATTCTTGGTGAGGAGGAGTGTTCCTGCAAAGATGATTTCTGTAGTGGTGTTTGTAAAAGCTGGCTCTCTTGGTGAATTCCAAAGAGTTATATGATAAGGTCTCATCTCTTGAGGATAGGTCTGAGCCTGAGCCTGCGGTGAAAAGATCATTGTATTGAAGCTAATGATATCAGTATTAGAACTGTGGAACAGGGTCCTGTCTATAAAGCAATTTCCAAGAATTGATAGCATTGCACCTAGTCTAGAGTAATGTATTAATGAAGGGGGATCGATGATGTTCAAGCCACTACCCAGGACCTAGGTCCTGCCTTTATAGCTATTTCTCCAGCATTACCGACCGATTTTGTAACATGCATATTCATTCCTTGCATAATAATGTGCAACCTCATGCAAAGATCATGCTAAAAGGAATCAACTGTTATCATCAGTTCTATACATATGGTCACCTGAGGCATGCATCTCCCCATTAACACCGATGGTATTGGAAACAAAGACACAGTGCGTGTTTGCATGATCCACTGTAACATTGATGACATCACATACATACATAATTTCGATGTAACATTCATGGTTCCTTGGCTCAAATTTTGTTTCCTTGTCAGTACATTTTGGCATGGTCACCTCATTGTACGTGCGTACAATGCGGTGGGCATCTCTCATGTGATTTTAACTACTGATATGTTGCTGTGCTCAGTACATAACTGGTATACTCAAGTGGATTTTGGGGCAACAAATATCCCAACCCAATTATATGTTTCTCAGAATCCTTTTCTCACTGCACATATCACATGTGTGGCTGTTATTACTGCCATATGGATAATCCATCATTGATGTGTTTTGCCACATCTGAAACACTCAGTGAGTATACATGCACTGTTGTAATGAATCCCTTGCAACAACGTGCTAGGTCCCATGTTCTCTCTCACTGCTTCCTGTAATTCAAAATTTCACTATCTTCTGGCAAGCATTCCTTCTTGCATTTGGCTGGACTTGAATTGAACTCATGAGGAACAAAGTTCCCCCTCATTCATATGTAGAGTTTAGTTATGGACTCATAATATTTGTATCCACACAGTTAATTGTAGAGTATCAGTTGGTCTAGTTGACTTCTGCCTTTGCGCACCATAAGTTCTTCCCAAGATATATATACAGGCCCTGGGTATTCTGTTTGAATGAAAAACTGCAATCCGTTCATCTGTCCATTATGTACTTTGATTTATCTTTGTACTTGATCAAGTAAAACTGCCATTTTTGGAACTCTCAGGAAATGAGATTTACAAACATTCATAATTCATTGAGTCGTTTAATTTCTATTGGCCCGTATTTTTATGTCGACATTCAGATGATTTCTGAGTTGTGCCTTCTGTCAACTATGAATTGTCATTCACAATTGGATGGGAAGTTTTGTGGGAAGTCGGAACGCAGGGGAAATATGTATTTGATATTTTCTCCTGTTACCTTCCAAAAATTCAGTTCACTTATTCATTTCACTTTTGATTACATAATCATTCAGTACACAACCCCCTAGTTCTCCCCGGGGTTGCCAGTCTTGTTGTTCACTTTTCGCTTCTTGGCTTCCTGCTTTCCTCTCCAATCATCACACATCTCACCCATCCGTTCAAGTTTCTCAGCTGATCTTCCACCCTGCTGCCCTTCTCAAATTGCCACCTCTTTATCCAACATCTCAAATTTTCCAACAATCAACCTCAGTCTTCCTACACCCCTCACAAACCAATCATGAAGAGAACCCATACTGGTACCAATTTTTTGGGAGCAAGCGCAACCCAAACAGTCGATCCAAAAGTCCATTCGTCCAATCAAAAAAACAACCCCCAAAACAATCACAATGTTGCTAGTGTACTTGTCCCCTAACTCTCTCCTCTGCTGTCTGTCGCAATAGCAGAACACTTACCATATTGCTTCTTTCCTTCACACTTGTTTGATGCAGACAATTCAAAACACTTACAATGAAATTGCTCCATCAGTTGCTTGTCAGGATCTGTTAGAACCGCTCCCAATCAACGAAACAATGACCGAACACAATCACGTTGGCCAATACTATAGCAACATTGATTGGACCCATCATCAACTGATGTACACGTTTGTCACACGTCACAGGATTGTTAAAGGATTCAATCAACTACAGCCGCCCTTCCCTCGCACTGGAGCCAGTTCAGCCATCCTCCGTTCACTGATCAATCCACCAACTATGTTCTTCTTCGGAGGATCAAGCATTCAAAACCAACACAACGATCTGTACCACTTCACCTTTGATCCTAATGACTCCAAAACCAGCCTGACTGCTGGGATTGTCAACACACTTGGACAAGCCCCTGCGCCGCAATCTCATGCTATTCTCTCTGCAACTGATGGCCACCTTTTTCTATGGGGTGGTCAGACAAATTCCAATGTTCCAGACTACCATCTCTACCGCCTTTCCCTATCAACAAACTACTGGAATCACTACATCATATCCGGACCCTCCCCAGCTCTTTTGTTTGGTTCATCTTCTACAATTTTTGAAGGCTTTCTCTATGTTTATGCCAGCCATGATGTTAATCGATCTGTCCAAGGTGATATGTGGCGGATTGAATTAGACAGTTGTCAGTTTCTAAAACCAACTTCTTACTTGAGCATCAGGCAAACTATATGACACTGACACGTGAATCTTTCTTTTCTAGTACCTTCTGTCCCGTCTTGGGAGTTAATCTCGTCCTCCAAAGATCAAATCTGTCCTCCTGCTTGTACAAGCCACTCTGCGGTAGTTTATTCAAACTCCTGGATCATCTTTGGTGGAACAGACGGCGTCAACGTTTACAACGATCTGTGGGAGTATTGCTTCCGTGAAAAAAAAATGGCGTCAAGTTTCTGCCAATGGTTCTGTACCCCCTCCGTGCAAGGATCACCTGGTTACCCAAGTCAAGGATCACATGTATGTCTTTGGTGAACATGATGTTTCTGATCATAAAATTTTTGACTTCTTCGCACTTGACCTTATCAGTAAGCATCCATTTTGAATTTAGTGCTCTCATCCAGCCTCAGTAAAGCTGACTCAACTTCTACCAATTCCAGACCATGTTTGGCATGGATTGTCTTCCAATGGCCTTGAGCAAGTAGATCCTTGTGGGAAGGCGGTAGTTGCATGGGTTGAAACAATATACGTATTTGGTGGACTATTATCAAATAATTCACGTTTTTATCACACTCCCAACAGCATCTCCGCTTGGAATCAACAGCTTCAACATCAAAACTACATTTTCACCTCTTCAATGGAGTCCCTTTCTTCAGTTGAGGACTATCCAGCGAAAGAACCCCCGTAGGTCCTTCCTCCCAATCATCTTCAATGACTCCCTCCATCCTCAGATGGGTTGTAGTGTGGGATTAGTGCAGTTGGTGTGACTATCATTTGTGCCACAGCTAGTCTCACAACACACTCAATTGTGGATGGTTATTTTGTTTTAACCAAACAGGAGAGCAGAGGACTGACTATCATTTGGACCGTGCTCTCCTGGATTGTTTTTCTGTGACACTACCCCCAGACCTAATTGTTCTTAAAAGCTAATAAATTGCATTGGCTTCTTTACCTTCTCAGGCCTGGCAAACAAATCCAACCTCAAAAGCAAGCTAAGAGGTGGGATCAAGCACGGGAAAAACGAGAACAACCTGTCTGTACCCCTGGCCAGCACCAGAACATCTACCATCATTCTGTACCTCCATCTTGCCAACACGACCCCTGACCCACTGAACTAGTAACCAGCCAGCGTACTATTAAATAAAAATAGGTGTCCATCTCACATGGTGTCTGCATTGTTGCACCCAACAATCTCCCTCCCTTCTGTATGGCAGCATGGTATCCTTTCGAAACAATGGCAGCAAATGAGAAGAAAGGATGGGAACAATTTGTCTTGCACCTTCTTAGCCAAATTGACTACGTCGCACAGGTCAATACTAACGGTCCCCAGCAGGATGGAACCATGTGGGCTGACGGTTGGCGCAAGTGTTCAAAAAACACTGAGCACTTTGGAAGATTCTGCTGTGTCGAATCATTGCGCAAGCAGATGAAGCCCCTCAACTTCGACCCCGATGATCAGAAGGCCCGACTTCTGCAAGCTGGTGAATGGATCTTGTCCCACTTGAAAGATTTTGCACCTGTGGTACACAACAACTATCATCAGCTTCTCACAATCAATCAATATCCGTCAATGAATCACACAGAGTATGGCTAACCTTACACCACATCAGACTTTGCCTCTTTCCTCACTTTCACCATGTTTGACTTCCATAATCTTCCCCACAACAATAACAATGTCAATGACTGGACCCTGGTAGGCTGGATCCCAATCTTTAACCCAAAAAAATATGACAATCCTCAAATTCTGGCGGATCAAGATTTTGATATGATTGGGGGACAGTTTTCATTTCGCGATTTCCAGATCTGTTTGGACTTGACTAAGACACTGGGTGTAACCCTTTGTGTGTTCAGATCCAAAGACTTTTGTCATCAAACCCTCCCTGGTGCTTCCCCATCTGGAAAGTATACCCGAATTCGATTTTCTTGTCAGATCAACCAAAGTATGGCAAGTGATGTCACTGCCTATTTGCGGGGAAACTATGAAAAAAAGTTAAACATCGGTGGCCTGCAAAATCAAGTGGATAATGCCAATGCACCCAAGAAGAAAAAAAAGACTTAGCTGTATGTAGAATTATAGTGCATCTTCTCCTGTGAAACATACCTCTGTTTTGGCATTCATTTGATCATTTTAACCAAATTTGTCCTGGTAAAAAGTCTCTCACGGGCAAATAAAAGATTGAAATACAGATCAATGTATGGTGACACATTTAATTACTTGAAGATTTTATTTCCATTGGCAAAGCAATGATCATTGTACGTGTATGATTAAAGAGATATATGTGGTATATAAATTGTTCTTTCTCCAAACCATTCAATATCACTTTAGTTGAAAAGTTTTCATCCTCTACCATTTGAACACCATAGGCATTAGAATGGAATCTATGGAAACTCATAGAGTTACATCAGATTAGCAAATTTAAATTTCGGTTGCCATTGATGTAACAATTAAAACTCATGCAATTTGGCATATTTACAGCCACTTGCACGATTTGAGATGTCACTGACCTTTTCCACTATTTGTCAGCTCTAATGAGTAAAAAAAATCATATAAAACACTTCAAACACAAGCTGGTATTTGTACCTTAATTGTAATTAAATTAAACCCATTCATTCAATGGGGGTCTTGCTCAATTTCAAAATTGAGGTTCCTTGGTCAATTCTAAGATTGATGGTGGACTTGTAGTGTTTCAATCCAGAAATCTTTACATGGTCAGTGGTTTCATTATAGCTTTAGGGAGTTGATTTTCTCCAAGTCCTGCAATCTTGCATGGCTTTAAGCTTGCCAAGTAGGTGAGTTCAACTTGGAATATTCATTTTGGTTTATTTCATTGGACATTGAGCTCTGTTAGCAGTCATCTCAAGTTTTAATTTAAGAATGCTGAATGGTTTTCTCTTGAGATAATCTTAGACCTGTACTTAACCTTTGAGAAAAAAGATGAGCAGCCTGGAAAAAATATGTGCACTCCAAAATTGATAACAATATGCATTTGAGTTATAGATGGTTTACAGCCAATTTGTGTAATTTGCTCTGGATTAGTTACGTCTAAATCACATATGATTTCCAGATGAGTTCGAGATACTGTTGAGATGATTTCCAATATCTTTCACATTTGGTGATGAAAACATCATAGCATGTTTCTGCCATATTTATGGGAAAAGTTACTGGTATGGCACTCCCTGGGGAGTGCCCCCAAAGCTTCCCTGGTGTCATCAGCATTCTCAAAGTTTGTTTTGCAAGCTTACAAGAAATTCAAACTCAAATCTGTAATGCTGAAAAGATGAAGGGGGCTGTAAAATGGATAGTTACTTGCATTGTTCTACACAATCTGCTGGCCAATCTCAAAGATCAATGGAATGATATCACTTTATGAAGATGAGGCTCCTGAAGACAGTGAAAGTGACTCTGATGATGATGATGTTCCAAATTATGATCTTAGAGCTAAAATTTGTTGAATCACAGTGGCCCACTTTGCATAGGTAAGTCTTTTTATTTGGTTTTGTTGGGCAAGTCATTAACGAACTACATGTTGAAGCACCCAAAAAAAATTTTTTTACCCCCCATTTCACCCAGGATTTTTTTACTCCCCATTTCACAAAAGGATTTTGTACCCCCCATTTCAAATTCAAGCATCCAGATTTTCAAATTTGACCATCCAGATTTCACTCCCCAAAAAAATTCTTGAATTCAATCCCAACTGTCCAAACATCAACCCGCCCACCTGCCCATTCACCCACCAACCAATCTTCCTTTGGACGTTGCACCTTAGTCAACCTCAGTGAGTATTTTTGTGCTTTTTTATGTTCAATCAAGACAGCTGATATTATATTCAATTTCACCCTGTGTACATATCAGCCCCATCAATGCCCCTTGTTGCTTTGCTTTGACAATTTAAAAGTGAGAGCCAGTGTCTTCTGACCCAAATTTGTCTGAACAATGTATATGTGTTATGCTGGGTCTGATTTGATCTGATCTCACTGCCCTGGTCTGCTTGTGTACTACATAGAAACTCAACCAACTCGAACCCCAAATCTGTACTCAAGAATTGTCAAGCTTCTTGTTTCAGGACTCAAGATTCCTCAACTCGTTTCAGGACTCAAGATTCCTCAATCTTCTAGGATCACCTCTGTAATCCAATCTCAATTTACACTCATCATGTTTCAGGAATGCCTCAATCTCTCTAGGCGCTCCGTACTCCATTTTTTTTTGGATCTCATTACATGGACGTGAGCTCAATTGAGCTTGCCGTTGGATCTTTGCCTCATCTCATCTCATCTGGATTGTGGTTTGTGGTTCGTTGTGGTTCATCGTGGTTTGTGGTCATTCGTGGAACTTGCAAGGGTAATTCTTGTACCCCTGCATGTCCTCATGGCTCTCCTCTCCTCTCCCCTCACTCTCCCCTCATCATCACTCTCCCCTCCCCTCTCTCTCTTCAATCTCTCTTCTCCCCTCAATCACCCCTCCCCTCTCTCTCCCCTCACCCCTCCCCTCTCCCCTTCTCTCTCCCCCCTCTCCCCCCTGCAACCCCCTCCCCCCCCACACACACACCCTCTAAAGCTCAATTGAGTGTTTAATTGCTCAATTGTTTGTTTAATTGCTCAATCGAGTATTTAATTGCTTGATCGAGCAATTAAACAAATGATTGATTGTTTTCACTATCAATCGTTCTTTAGAGGGTCCCAGCAGCCCTCTGGCATGTCCAGAGGGCTCAGGGACTGTGTTTAGGGGGGAAGGGGGGGAGGTGAGGGGGAGGCCCAGGGGAGCTGATGGGGGCTGTTGGGGTGAAGGGGGGAGGGGGGGTGGGAGAATGGGTCAAGGGGCAGGATGAAGAGGAGCAACAGGGCCACGTATCTGGCCCTGTTGGAGATAAAGAGAGGAGAGGAACAGGGCCACATATCCGGCCCTGTTCAAGGTAATGTGAGGTCTCTGGACAGATCAGAAGGCTGCTTATCAGCTGTGGAGCAATGTAATTCCATTTTTATGCTATTTATGAGCTTGAGAGAGCGAGGCTGATGAGCCTTCAGAGAGCACACAGACAAGCTGTCCCCTGTATTGTGCAAAAAAATAAACATGAGTACTGACATCTCCTTGGTTTTACTTGGTCCTCTTCAGAGTATAATCATTACACCTCCATGTTGGAATTCTGGCAAGCAATTAGTATCTTGTACTCCACTGGCCTGGTCTTTTATATGTAAGAATTGTATATCTGTCATGAAAGAAATTTATGATGTATATACTGACTGCTGAATAATAATTATGCAATCTTACTATAAATTACAGATCATTCACAATTCCCAAATTCTGTCATTCCACAATTGTGCCATACGCCACCAAGAATTGCAGAATCACCCTCACCAATGACAACAACCGGAGGTACCGTGACACCCCTCAAGGTGCCCCTCCCATCTGCTGAGCCTGTCCTGGGAGGTTCCATGACCCACTTGGCTGTGTACAAAACATCAAGATGAGATGCCCTGCACTACCAAGCAAGTCCGTACTTCCGGGGGGCTCAAGATTATACTGAGTGTGTACAAAACATCCAGATTGGATGCCCTGCGTTAACTCAGGGGAATGAGCCCCCTCAGGCCTTGGTGGATGGCGAATTGGGCATTCTTTGTTAGGGGTGTTCTGGGGAGAGCAGGTGAGGATCTTCAGGGTTCTGGTTCTTGATGGTAGATTGCAAGGTGTGGATCTCAAACGAACTCCAAGTTTGAAGTTTTGACATGTACGTAACAGGCTCTCTACATACAACACGGGGCGAGTGTTTTGAAACTGGCCCCATCCGCTGGACGCTTTCCTGAGGAGAGCGTCCAACGGATGCAATCAGAGCGTCCAAGGGACGCTCTGGCGAGCCAGCATCACTTGGATGCTTCCAAAAGCATCCAAGTGACGCTGGCCAAATGTGAAGTGTCCGATGGACGCTAGGATCCATCGTCTATCGGACACTCTCCAACCGAGAGTGTCCGATGGACACACTAAAATGACTGTCCTTGTGATACTCCAGCAGGAGTATCCAATGGACAGTCTCTCAGGGTATTACTGCGCATTCGATGGACCCTCTGGCTCAAGGAGTGTCCATCAGATGCGCATATCATCAAAGTTGGATC